TAAGTAATCAATTAATATAAAATATTGTGACACTTATTAAAATTTACATGATTCGGTATAATATTTAGTACACAAATTCACTCTACGTTTATATATATATATATATATATATATATATATATATATATATATATATATATATATATATATATATATATATATATATGGATGCACTCAGGTGCAAATAAGTGCCCAGGAAGGAATATGCGAACGAATCAGGGTGCGACACGTGTCCAGATCTAGTAACTTAAAAAAAACGCGGTGACATTTTCATAAATAATTGAACATCGAAGTGCAAGTAAAATCACTTACAAGTGCACCTACTTTCACCTATAAGTGTATGTAATTTTGCCTTGTTAGCATTCACTTCCCGCAAACATTCATGCACCTGGGTGTGCTTATAACTATAGGTGCAACTACTTATAACTATAGGTGCACCTACTTTCACTTATAAGTGCATGTAATTTTGTCTTGTTAACATTCATTGATCTGAGTTCAGCGGGTAGTAATACCCCTGAAAATTACCCGCAAACATTCATGCACCTAGGTGCAACTACTTATAACTATGTGTGCAACTACTTATAACTATGTGTGCAACTACTTAGAACTATAGGTGCAACTACTTATAACTATAGGTGCACTTAGTGTTGATGCTCAGTGTAAATTTTTATTTGCACCTATAATACATTTTACATGCACTTGTAATACATTTTACTTGCACTTCGATGTTCAATTATTTACGAAATGCCACCGCGCTTTTTAAAAAAAAAAATCAGTGTTTCTCATCCATTAGATCTGGACACGTGGATGGACAGAATCCATTCCTATTTCGCGCCTGGGTGAAGCATTCGCACCTGAGTGTGATTATATATATATATATATATATATATATATATATATATATATATATATATATATATATATATATATATATATATATATATATATATATATATATATATATATATAGTCCATCTATTGAACTGGATTTATGTTGTTTACTGCATGTATGGTATTAAAACTTTTATTTCCTTATATCACTACACACTTTCGAGAGGCAGGGCATTGTAATCCTAGTAGTCACCTAGTGCTGGACTTGCACCTTCACCGGTCTCTGCCCAACTCCCCCTCCCATCGCAGCACTTGCCAACCTAGCTTGATATATACCACTTGTTCGTTAGGATCAAATGCTTACAATTTACAACTATGTCAAAAGTTATAGCTCATAGCAAATGCTCAACTTTATTTCTTTATACTGCCATATTATTTAGAGGCATGATGTTGGACTTGACTGCTCAGACCTCTACCCAACAATTCTCTAGCCACCTAGTATTAGACTTCCTTCACCGACCTTCGCTCAACAATTAAAAAGCTACCGGGTAATTATTTTTACACAAGAATGAGAATTATAGTCATCTTCACTCTCTGGGCTATGATGAATCTCATCTTGAAGTTTTGTTTTTCCTTGAGTTAAGACCATGTGGGTCTTTTTCTTCCGTGCTTAGCAATTATTATTGCATCCGTGAATTACAGCTGCATGGATTATAGCCTATTTTTACCTAACATTTCTAGGTTGCAATCCTAGAGATCAGATATGTTGACTTGATGATATAGTGAAAAGTAAGGATAAATGCCTGTAGCTTTTAACATTTAATTAATCCATACTGGAAAATACTACATGTACTCCCATTCTTTACTCTCAACTTTTACTCCCACATTTAGATGTAGACACTTTTACAGGGGTCCATATGAAAAAAATAACATATCAAGTCCGCCACATCTAGTAAAATTTGAGAATACATATAGTACAACTCTATAACAATATTAGTGAAATATAATAAAATATTTTTCGTATTCTCAGTTTATCTCATTATTCCAACAACTTTTATAGGAGTTACCTAGAGATGGAGAGGAGATTCAAGGTATATGTATACGAAGAAGGGGATTTGCCAATAGTCCACAGTGGACCTTGCAAAAATATATACGCGAGTGAGGGAAGATTCATTAGCGAGATGGAGCACGGGCGCAATAAGTTCAGGACCAGAGACCCATATTTAGCTCACGTTTACTTCATGCCTTTCAGTGTCACTTGGATGGTGAAGTACCTTTACAAGCCTCTTACTTATGATGTCTCGCCTCTACAACAATTCGTGTCGGATTACGTAAAAATCATTTCCACGAAACACCCTTTCTGGAATCGAACTCAAGGTGCTGATCACTTCATGCTCTCTTGTCATGACTGGGTAAATACTGATCGAGCCTTACTTTTTCCTCTAGCTTTTTAATTAAATCATATATACCTACATACTCCCCCCATTTTCAATTCATTGTTTTTTTTTTTTTTTTTTTTTTTTTTTTTTTAACCTTGGATTTTATTTCAGGGTCCACATGCTTCAAAAGGCAATGCAAATGTGTACAACACATCGATCAGGGTGTTATGCAATGCCAATTCTTCAGAAGGATTCAACCCACAGAAAGATGTGAGCCTGCCTGAGATCCATCTTTACACGGGCAACATATCCCCCAAACTCCAGCTTCCCCTACCCGCCAACACTAGTTCAAGGCCCCACCTAGCCTTCTTCGCCGGTGGGGTCCACGGCCCGGTCCGCCCAATCCTCCTCCAGCACTGGAAGGACCGGGACCCAGATATCCACGTCTACGAGTACTTATCCAAACACGACCAGCTAGACTACTACACCTTCATGTTGCAGTCCAAGTTCTGCTTGTGCCCTAGCGGCCATGAAGTGGCCAGCCCTAGAGTCGTGGAGGCCATTTACGCCGAATGCATCCCGGTCATACTATCAGATAATTACGTCTTGCCATTTAGTGATGTGCTTAAATGGGATGCATTCTCAATACAGGTTGAGGTTTCGGAAATCCCACGGCTAAAGGAGGTTTTGTTGGGCGTCTCAGAAGCCCACTACTTGAAGCTTAAACAAGGTCTTAAAATTGTGAGGACACATTTTGTGTTTAACCAGCCTCCGCAGAAGTATGATGTGTTTCACATGATTTTACACTCTGTCTGGCTCAGGAGACTAAATCTTAGAATTGAATGATCAGATCAGATCAGTAGTGGGTTAAATACTTCATTCCATACCTATAATTAATCAAAAAATTAAATTAAGAAACCCAAAACTAGAATTTCAACCTCAATTAGATCAGATTGTTTAATTTAATTTTGCACTCCAATCCACACTTAATTTACGTACAGAATGTAGCACTGGATGGCGCCAGATTAATTTATTAATTTCAGTTTATTACTTGTGGTTTTGTAAAAAAGAGTTCCCTGTTTAGTGTTTTATGATAAGTATACAGAAAGTAGCTTTGCTTAAACAACATATAATCCTTTGTATTGATATTTATCAAAACTTTGATTTCAAGATATATATTCACTGCCATCAACCTTAGGAAATTCACAACAAAAAAAGGCACTAATTATGTATGCATCACCAAAAATACACCATTAGATATGAATATAATAAAAGCACTACACAATATTCTGAAATGCACCATTAGAAGTGGGGAGTTATTTGGTGTATTTTTTGGTGGGAATAAGGGTCAAATAGACCACTGAACAATACACAAAATTGCAATTGGGCCATCCAACTCAAAAAACCTACAATTAGGTCCCTGAACAAGGTAAAATCATACTACCTCCGTCCCATTTTGTTTGTCTGGTTCGGTTAACGAGGCTTGACTGAAGCTATTTTTACTTCAATTTTTCATAATATTAAATTTATTTTTAGTATATAAAATTTATATATTTAGAAACTACATTAAAAGTACTATTAAACATAAAAAATCAAATTTAAAAATAATTAAAAATTACTAAAGAAAATAATCAATGAAGAAAGAGTTGGATTGACCAATGAATAGTAAACATGACAGGCAAAATGGGACAGAGGGAGTACAATTAAATCAAAAGTGACCTGTTTGACCTGATATCTGCTGACGTGGCAGTTACCAAAATTTTAAAATATATTTTTAATATCTTTTACTAATTTTTTTTTTAAAGACTCCAAACCCCGTCATTGACTGCATTTCCCACCGCCCACAACCGCCACATCCACCACCGCATTAAGCCGCCAACGCTGCCATGTATAATCCTTTGTTATCTAAAATGTGCGAAAAGGCTCTCTCATCGCTTCCCTGCGAACAGAACTCAACCACAGCCGTAGTACAAAAGTGTAAGACCTGACATTAAACCCATGTTAGCCTCATCTAATAGCCAACAAAGTGTCCCTAGTTGCGATTTGACCGGGCAATCAAATCCATGTTAGTGGTGCGACGGCAGCGGGTGGGGATGGGGAGCGTCTGATCAAGCTCACATTGTACGAAGGGGGGTTTGGGATTTTTTTTTTTCAAAAAAAATTGGGAGTTAATGAATAGCTTGCAGCAGTAGGCTCCTGTACTGATTTTGATTTTTTCTTAACTCTAATGCTTGAGGAGTATAGTTGTGCGAAACAACATTTCATCCTGATTATTAAATTAATTGGCCTTTGGGTAAAAGAAAAATTGTGCTTATACAATCAAGTTTTCTACACAGAAGATCACATGTGATGGTGGATTCACTTACAACATGAGCTTGATCAGACGTGGGTTTTAGTAGACGCTCCCCACACCCACCCGCCGCCATAGACATGGGTTTGTAGTTGGATTACGGTTGGGGTTGAGTTGAGTTCACCGGGAAGCGCCCTGAGAGCCGGTTTGAACAGTTTAGATAACAAAGGATTTTACATAGTAGCGTTGGCGGCGGAATGCGGTGGTGGATGCGGCGGTTGTGGCTGGTGGGAAATGCAGTCAATGACGGGGGTTTGGGAGTTTTTATTTTTTATTTTATTTTTTTTTTAAATTTAAAATTATTAAAAGATATAAAAATATATTTTCCATTCAAAAAATATAAAAATATATATTTTTAAAATTTGATGACTGCCACATCAGCGTATATCAGGTCAGACAAGTCATTTTTAGTTTAATTGTATGATTTTGTCTCTTTCAGGGACCTAATTGTAGTTTTTTTGAGTTGGATGGCCTAATTGTAGTTTCATGTGTAATTCAATGGCCTATTTGACCCTTATTCCTTTTTTGGTGTGTTGGGTATTTTTTGGTGTATTTTTACATTTCATTGTTGTGTATTATATTTTCGTATACTATTAGTGCCTTTTGTTAAAACTTTTGTTGTATTCTTCAAACGGCCACACGGCACGACCGCATTTGAGCAAACTTTTATATATATATATATATATATATATATATATATATGTGTGTGTGTGTGTGTGTGTGTGTGTGTGTGTGTGTGTGTGTGTGTGTGTTTGTTTTACTGTAATTATGCCTGGAAATCCAACATTTTCAGGTGGTTTGAGTTTGGATTATTACTCCCTTTGTACCATTTTATCTGTCCTACTTACTATTCACTGGTCAAACCAATTCCTTCTTTTTTTGTTAATTTTTATTAGTATTTTTTACTTATTTTTAAATTTTTAAATTTATTTTTTTGTATTTAATAGTACTTTGAATGTAGTTTCTAAATATATAAATTTTGTATACTTATACGAAACTTAATATTATAAAAAATTAAATTAAAAATAACTTCAATCAGTCTTGTTAACCGAACCAGATACAGGACGGAGGGAATATTATAATAAGATATATGCAACAACTAGACGTGATAAAATGAATTGAAGTCACTCCCAGTGGTCTGTGTAAAGGCTTGAATGAATGTTTATTAATTGAAAAACAACAGCCTTTAAATAGAGTCGTATAGCAGAAGAGTAGGAAAACTTACAATAGAAAGTATACCTATTCTAATGGTAACAACTAGAGATAGGAAAGGAAAATTACAAAGAAAAAAATATACTAAGCTAGTCAATCCTGAAAGGTCTGAAAGTAATAAAGCAATAATGTATGTATATTGATGAATTTGGAACCTCTTTGCGGTACCAATTACCAAAAACTATTATTTATACACCGAAGCAAAAATTCAATAGTTATAGGCAAGCCAATATTATCTAAACATGTGAATCAAGCTTGCTTTAGATCAGTAGTGACCTTTGAAGTTAATAGTTATGCTGAGCATCTATGTTCATAATTAATGAACTATATATTCATAATTATAAAGTTATATATTCATAATTATTGATCTATATTCACAATTACAGAACTCTATATTCATAATTATTGAACTGCATATTCATAATTATAAAGCTATATATTCATAATCTTTGAATTTCATATTCACAATTATTGAATCTCTATATTCATAAATACAGAACTATATGTTCATAATTATGTTCCTAATTCAATGTTCATAATTATAGAACTATATATTCATAATTATGAACAGTTTTAAAACCGTGTCCATCTTGCAAGGTGGACACAGTTCCACAGCATAATTTGCCCCTTGGAGTAGGGTTGAACATTAGAGCATGGACTCGTCGTCAAATATTCAAATTCGTTCCAATCCAATTTGCATAAACCAAAAATGAATATGATGCAAACTTGAAAAACCATCACGGTTAGATTGTGTAAATTTTACTTCCTAAAATCTGCAAGATCGAATCTGCTTAGCTAATCCGTTACAAAAACAATGTTATTATATAAATATAGGTCCAATTCACATGAGAACTTATCCTTAGGTGATCATTAAATTAGAGTGATGCACGGTTGAAATTAAATGGAAGAAATCACACAGATTAAGGAAACAAATCCCTTTAAAATATTTTTAAAATATACATTTAGGGGTAAATCCGTTTTATTAGAAGTTGTGCATCACTATACAGAATATTGTGCATTCCTATGCTGAATGCTGTGCATCGATTACTCTCTGGTTGTGCATTCAAACACCGTAAAAAAATCCTACGATGGACATCCCAATGTCCTACGATGCACCGCACTAAATGCACCAATGCACATCTCACTAGCTTACGATGCACAACTCACAATACTGGGTTGCATAACAAGCACACCCGAATGCACAATCGTATTACCCAGACATAGGCCTGTGCATCGGTAGGATATGGACGGATCGGATTTCCCATCTATCCATCCAACCGGATTTCAGATTTCCATTCCCCCTCCCCCCCCCCCCCCCCCCCAATCCGTAATTTTTGAAGGACATACCCTATCGGATTTAAAAAGCTCGGATTTCGGTTATCCGTAGTCAGATTTCAGATTGTAATCGGATATTAATAAATTAATATAAAATAATTTTGAATAATATTTTTTGAAGGAAAAAGTTAATAAAAAGTTAAAAACTTAGCTATTTAGGCATTCAGATACTAATCCACTTATCTAATATCTACTTGTACAAACTAAAACTAAGTAACTTAGTTTCTTAGTAACAATGTAACATACAAGTGATAAAAGTCATATAACTTAAAAGTCATACAACCATAGCAAAACATAAAAGTTGCAAACTAACAACTTACAAATTAATAATTACAGATTTTCAATGATTATACAAAAAAAAAAAAAAAAAAAAGTTTAGGTGTTTAACTTCAACAAAATAGTTTCAGCACTCAGCAGTCAGTAGTTCAACTTCAGCACTTATAGTCTTCTACACTCAACATTAATCTACTCTTCTTCCTGTTAATATAAAAACTTAAAACAATATTAGTCTTTAGACATGTCCAGGAAACAACTTAGTAAAAACTAACAATACTAGGCATTAGATTCAGAATGCATTTTCCATATCAAGTAAGAATGTGGGCAAATTGCTCAGAATGTGTTATATTAGCACATAGCAACATGCCAACTCCATTCCATTTATTCAGACAAAAGAGGAAGCTTCATCATAGCCAGCCAATAAAACAAATGCATTAAAACTAAACAAAGAGCAAGGAAGAGTTATACTCGAAAATAAGAAAGATATACATTTTACTTGTTTTCTCAAAGGTTCCCTATGAGATCTAGGGCTTCAAGGCGTCAAACTTCCATCGGCGTCCGGCGACTAGCGTCTTGCCGTCTTTGGCTCTTTACGACTTGCGAGGCTTCCACCAGATTCCCGTCGAAGACTCGAAGGGGAGTTCGGGATAGACGTGTAACACCCCCTAAAACCATGCTATTTAAAGCCTTAAAACATGCAGATATCTTAAACCAAAACACCAAACACAGTGGAAGACTGAAAGAGGAAGTATATAAAACAAAGGAAACGGGGTGCTATGCCACGCTCACCCAAGGGTGAACGCATAGGCTAAAGCTGCATTGTTTAAAATCTACAACCATCCAATAGAGTACTAAGTCTAGATTGGCTCACAGGCCACAAAACATAAAAGGGGAGCTATACTAGCTGGCACTAGACCGCGCACTCGTCTAAGCATCACCTGAAAGAAGCATATAAAACATGGGACGACGCCCGGTCAGCGAATAATGCTGGTAACCCACCAATACATGTGAAATATCATACATAAATCAGGTATAAGCTGTAAAGCCATTTTCGAAACGGAATACATATATATATATATATATATATATATATATATATATATATATATATATATATATATATATATATATATATATATATATATAAGTCCAAAACCAAGAGTAATAGTCAACACAAGACTCAACACTCTCAACAAGAACACGGGAACACATCCCAAGACTACAAAGAACAACAACAACTTACAAGAAGTCTCAAGGTATAATCTATCATCACACAATAGATTAATACCCGACATGCATAACTCAAGGAATAAAGACACACCAAACGACAACATATGCCAAGGCAACACATGCCTTTGTGACTACACACGTCACAAGAAGAGAACTCACAACAACGGCTACACAAGCCCTCGTGACATCACCCATCACGAGTTGATATGCCTTCCTCATGCCTGGTTCCAACCTTATGGCTACCCCCAACCTTATATCTTCTTCCAACCATTACCTCCAGGACCCCTGTACACCAAGTTCAACATTTTCCCTCCGAGGACCGTCGTCCCCATCCGCCAACAACCCCCAACAAAACCACCAATTTCATAGTACACGAGGGTACCGTTCACACACACGGCAACACATGCCTCTCCCAAAATACGTGAACCTGACACACAGGTCACAACTCCATAATCACGTCATGGCCACCACGAGGACCACTGCAATACCTTGGTGACTAGTGTCCCATACCACTAATCGTGCAATCCAGGTAAAACCACACACACATCACACCTCAACAGGAATCAATCAACGGATCACAACGAAGATATGAAACCATACTCAATCAAGGAATGGATCACAGCCCAACAACAACAACGATGAATAACACAAGTTATCATCAAGCAACGGAAGGTACAAACAACACACATGCTAGCATTTAAACACCGAACTAACATGCTTATCAAACGGGTAAACCAAACGTAGTTCCGAAGAATACACAAGACTCATCACGGTTCAACGAAACACAATGTTGAACACTTAGCACGATTCAAGACACCAAAACTTACATGGATTCCTACCATATAGTTCTAGACATACGAAACATCAAGAAGATGCTCAAATAGTTCCACAAAAGAACATCGGGAAGTCAAAAGACCAAATACCGAGTCAAAAGAATCACGGGGAACAAATCCCCCAATAACCATATACTGTACCCCGCGGGTGGACCCACGGGTAGACCCCTACCCGCGGTTCCGCCCGCGGGTACTTAACCCACAAGCAGCTTGTACCCCGCGGGTGGGCGACAGGTGGACCTCCTACCCGCCGTTCCGCCCGCGGGTACACACTGTACCAAAATAAATCCCTTCGGGGATTTTCATCTCCAAACTCAAATTCAAGTCCAAAACATGCAAAATCTCACCAAATACAACAAAATGACTTGAATCAAAGGAATAGCCAAGCAATGGCACACATGAACCCTAAACATAAGTTCTAGATATGCATTTTCACAAGACTCATGTAGAATCCAAGAAATATTCATATAGGTAAGCAAAATAGGATTTGTAGAGCATGGGTTACCTCTTGTAGACCAAAAACCTTCACTTAACACTTCACCAAGCTCCTATCAAAGCTCACCTTCCAAACCCACTTCAAGAACACACCAAAAGATCATAAAAATTCTATCTTTAAGAAAAGACACCTAAGAAAACACTAAAAACACAAGATGAACATGGATCTTACCCTCCTAGATGCCCAAATGTATGAAAGGTAGAATCTTGGAGACAACTCTTGAAGTCTTGGCAAAGCTTCAACTTGGCTTGGAAGAAAAGCTATCCACCTTTTTAGAGAGAAGGTGGAGCTAGAATTTTGATAGTGTAAGGAAAGAAATGAGGGTGTTCTTACTAGGTTAGGTTACAATACTAACACAAGGTGAAAGGTCAAGAATACCCTTACTAACATGAAGAGGTGTAAGGAAAGAAGGGAACTCCTTACAAAGCTCAAGGTACAACTTTGACTTTGGGGTTGACTAGTCAATTAATAGTCCCCGACTATTGAATTTCAGGAATTTAAGGAATTAAATTACAAATTGAAATAGGATTAACTATTTAATTAATCCCTTAATCGAATTTGGATTTCGGGGTGTCACATTCTCCCCCCCTTCAAAGAAGCTTCGTCCCCAAAGCTTGGGTACGACGAATTAGAACAAACGGTAAAAAGGAACATCAGAGGAGATGAGAGATGAGAGAATCTAAGGAATTAAATTACAAATTGAAATAGGATTAATTACTTAATTAATCCCTTAATCGAATTTTGATTTCGGGGTGTCACAGGACGGGTTTTGCACAGAGACGATGAGAGAATCGAGAACTCACTCGTCTCACTGTTTCAGTCTCTCCACTCTCTCAGACTTTAGAGAATCAGAGGAGAACATGATAAGTGAGAGATTAGAGAAGGAGACTGGAGACTGTAGAGAAGCAGAGAAGTTATCAGGTCTCACAGAGTGGAGACTAGAGAACGGAATGAGAAGTCAAGAAGATCTCAGATCTGAGGAGTGAGGAGTGGAGAGACTGAAAATGGCAAACCCTAGGGCTAAGCATGGTTTTATACTAGTATGAGTCGAGCGAAACACTCTTTCCTTAAAACCTTATTTGTCATCTCCCAAAGGTGCTAGGAGCATTACGGCCTAGGCTTCCCAAGATAAAACGTACTACGATTCCAAGTTTGAGCACTCAAACAATAGGACCCGACGAACTAGAGCATGTAATGAACACAGGAGGATAAGAACGGAGAAGAAGTAGAATTTTGAGAGAGAAAATATTATTATTTTTTGTGTGTAAAAATTTGCTTCTCCACAACAACTTATATAGGAGTTGAGGAATTCAATAGCATTCAACAAATGACATTAAACTCTGGTTTAAAACAAGATTGTAACCTTCAAAACTGACTATGGAGATTAATTTTGGAATTTAAAGTTGGAATTAATATGGAAATAATTCCAGAACATCTGAATTAATCCTCCAAATGGTTACTTGAATGGTACAGGCAACTTCAGAAGGAAACGATACAGGCACCCTATCCGGAAGATCAAGATGCCTACCGTTTCAGAAGCTGTCGTGCCGGAAGATAGCCGAAGGCCAACCAATTTTCCTAATAACTATATATATTGTTGGTCCCGATAGGGTGGTAAAATGTCTAGAGAGAGAGAGAGAGAGAGAGAGAGAGAGAGAGAGAGGGGGGGGGGGGGGGGGTGAATAGACTTTTTAAATTTTTTCACAATAAATAACACTTTGATAATTTCAACTCCAAGTAACAAGTAAATAACAAGATATTCAACTTGGATGCACAGCGGAATAATTCAACAGTAAAGTGTTACGTGAGAGATATATCACATGCACTAATGAAATTAAGTGAGCCTAGATGATTAGTGCTTATACGATATGTGTCAGTGCAGTAATGAGTGTGTAAGTCAAAAATTGATTTATGCAAAAATTAAGTTTGCATGCAAGTACGTAGATACGCGTATGAAAAGGTTAGTCAAATAAACAATACTTAATATTTCATACAAAGCTAATAAAGTAACCTTCGAAAATTACTTATATAAATATGACAAATTATTTCGCATGTAATGGAGGAATTTTAGCAAACCCAGATGAAATTTTTGCTGTGTTTGAAAAATGGTCAGTCTAATATGCAAAAATGAATTACGTGAGGATTACTTTTGCATGCATGCGAATTGATTAATGGACCCAGACAGTAAAGAGAGATTAAATTGGTTAGTTCACAACAAACAAGATAATAATAATAAAAAAAAGCAGTAAGTAAAGAGAGAGGCAATTTAGAGTGGTTCGGAGGTGACGTAATCCTTCTACTCCACTTTTTCGCTTTTTTGCCTAGGAGAAAATTCACTATTTTCTTCACACAGTTACAAAAAGTGAATCAAGTGCTACCCAAGCACTTCTCGAGTGTCTTGCACATAGCTACACTCAATCCCGAGCATATCGCACAAAGCTATACTCCTACACCAATCAAGTGTCTCACACAAAGCTACACTTAGTTTCTCCGAGTGTCTCGCACAAAGCTACACTCAATAGGGATTTCAAACTCCTTGCTACTCTCCCTCTTTCTACGCACAGTAGAGAATTGCTTTACAAAAAAAAAAAAAAAAAAATCTCTTTACAAGACTTGTAGAATGCTACGAGATTGGCTCAAGGAAAATGGATAATTCAAATGATGCTCTCTGCTCGTGTAGTATATTGCTTGTGTATTCTCAGAAAAAAAAAAAAATGGCTTGCATTCTTCTCTTGGTTTTCATCTCTATTTATAGATAGATTTTTGAATTTATCCGTTGGAGGCAACAATTTCAAAATTTGAATTCAATTTCAAAATTTGAATTGGGAATCTTGATCAGATTTGACATTTTGAAATTTGCTTCAATTATTTTTTCAGATGTCAGGATAATCTTTTTGACATTGTAAGATTTTTCCTGATTTGGCAAGTTACCTTCTTTGTGGAAATCTCAAAATGGAGATAGAGTAGCTTGTCTCTAATCTTCATAAAAATTCTTAAGCTGGTAGTTGAAAAGCAGCTGAAAGAAATATGTTATTGAAAAGATTTAAGCCCTGTACCTTTGGTAGTAATTTCCTTGCAATGTTCTTCTACCAACTAAACCACTTGAGATTTCATTAGCTTTCTTGTTCCATTTTCCTTTTCACCTTCACACGTGGAACTTTGAAGCAATCCTTAGCCTCCAAAAAGTGTGACCTCTTATTTCTTCAAGAATAGTGTGATATCTTCTTTGATTTAGAAAGTGTGACCCCTTCCTTCTCTCCAAATTGGCGTGACATTCCTCCATAAAATAGTATAGACTCTTGTTCATAATTTAAGAAAAATGTAGTCTCCATCATTGTGATTCCTTAACTTGCATCTTCTTCCCAAGAAAATATATAACCTTTAATGCATAAATTCTTCTTGAATTAATTTGAAACAATAGTTCAAATTAATATTTCCTTGCATAATTTCCTGTAGCATCATATTCTTTTCTTCAAGAATAATTTGTCTGGACTTGTTGAATATGGCTCATAATAAAATAAATAAATAGGGGACTAAATTTGTTTCTAACAATTTCACACTTTTTGATGATGCCAAAACCTATACTCAGTCATTTGGCTTAGTCTTAAAAAAATGTACTTGAATATTTATTTTATTTGACTAGCCTCAGATGAGTTTAACATCAAAATATGACCTATAAGAATTGTTTTAAGACATCAATTCCTAAACGCGTTTAAGACTGATCTTGAATTTATTTTTGAAAATATGCTCAAATATGTGATAGATACATGCTACGTCCAAAAGCATTTCTTTAAAACACAAACAACTAGTTATAATATTACACATTGGTTAAGAGCAAAAATATCAACATAAGTTCAAAAGATATTTTAAGAGTTAGGTTCAAAACAGATTACATTACCCATATCATATCTTCTTTTTTCCTTTGGCT